GAACCAGGTGTCGCAAATGCGACATCTGAGGCCTGTGCACAGCTATTAATTTCGAGACTTAGACCATTTAGCTCATTTCCTTTCATCTCTTGGGCGATTTTTGGAGCTTTTGGAAGAGGATTTTCACCTAGCACTTTGAGGTAAGTAATTTCTACACAACATGAGTTTAATACATAGATTATGGCTAGATTAACATGTAAAAATTAGTGAAATCAAGGGTTTAGATGAAAAATCTAGGTTTTGGATAAAAATGAGATTTGACCACGAAGATGGTTATGGAATGGAGTAGAAATCATATATTCTTGATCCTTAGGTTATGGGTAACAACTTTCTTCAAAGTTTCCGGAATCCGGGCACGTGAGCCCGAGGATGAATTTTAGGAACCTCGCATTTAGGGTTGGGAAATTAGTTTAATAATTAGAATATGAACTTTTCAGCATGTATTGACTAGTTCTTACCCCATTTGAATAGTTTTGGATCGTTCGGCTCCGATTTGGAGGTTTGAGTGCGTTCTTGAATTGGGATATAGGCTTCGGAGCGAGGTGAGTCTCCTTTCTAACCTTGTAAAAGGGAATTGTCCCCATAGGTGAATTAATTGGATATGTGCTTCCATTTGTGGGGGGCTACGTACGCACGAGGTGACGAGAGTTCGTGCGTAGCTACTATTATGCTTAAGTCCGGGTAGTCTAGGACCCATAAACATGCTTTACTTGTAATATTTGCAACCTTGTTGTCAACTTAAAAATGATTAAAACATATCGAACGTATAAATAAATTTTTGAAAGACTAGACATCATTTCTTGACTTTTAAAAGAGAAGCTTGCCTTTTTCCTGAATAATTGCTCCTTGATGAATTTTTGATCTGACTGTTTGAATGTGTTTATCTATGATGGAACGGGCCGAATGCCTCGGTATATTAAATAAATGCATCTATGGTTCGCGCCATTCGACCCTCTGACAGTGCACAGTTTAAATATTATTTGGATCGGGCCGTACGACCTCGGCATGATTTGCGCATGCTTGTATTGCTTGCCTTGAAATTCATTGATGCTGATATTTGTTTCTCCCTGGCCTGAGATAAATGTATAAATGACGAAAATAAATTTGGGAATTTCCTATAAAGGAAACAATTGTTTACTTGCCTCATGTTATTGAGTTACAACCCTTTTTAGGGAAATCCTCGTTTTACTATATTATTTGTATATTATTATAGGACCACTAGTAAGTGTCGAAGTCGACCTCTCGTATCTACTTCTTCGAGATTAGACGGGATACTTACTGAGTACACGTTGTTTTTGTACTCATGCTACACTTGATGTGCATTTTTGTTGCACAGGCACATGTATTTCTAGTGGCCTAGTGGGCGTAGCAGCATGGTTGATACTGAGACTTAGGTGAGCTGCACTTCTCGAGATGACCCGCAGCCAGCAGTCTCTTTCAGATTACTGTATCTACTTTCTGTCCAATTTGTATTCCGGACGGTTGTTGTATTATATTGTTTCTTAGAGATAGCTCATGCACTTGTGACACCGGGTTCTGGGATGATTATGCGATTATTCAAATTAAATTTGTTAAGGACTTCACGTTTATTTCTGCGAATTTCATTATTTATTGTTAATGTATAAAGGAAATGATTTCAACAAATACTAAAATGGGAATTTAATTAACTTCTTGGTATTGGCTTGCCTGACAGTGGTGTCCGGCCATCACGACCCTTAGTGGATTTTGGGTCGCGAAAGTTTCTAGTTGGAATGAACCCTTGTCTACTTTGCCTATAACTTTATATGGACCGTCCTAGTTGGTTCCTATCTTGCCTTCTCGTGGACCCCTGTTTGCTTGGGTTTTGGCTTTGAGTACGTAGTCCCCGATCTTGAGCAATCAGACCTTTGACTTTTTATTGTAGTAACGTTCTGCTTGTTGTGTCTAACCATTTTTATGTATTCCATATCTCTTCGCTCATTGAACTCGTCAAGATCTGCCTCCTACTCTCGTAATTGCTGGTGCCGCTTTCTTGGGAGTACCTTAGGTTGGGTTCTCCGACCTCGACCGGTATGATTGTTTCTGTTCCGTAGACTAAAAAATAAGGTGTTTCTCATACGCTCGTCTTCGGGGTAGTTCTGTGCGCCCATAATACCTCTGGGAGTACTTCCGACCGCAATCCCTTAGCCTTTTCGAGTTTCTTTTTCATGATATTCAATATAGACTTATTGGAGGACTTCGCTTGTCCGTTGCCGGCTGGGTGGTAAGGAGTTGAAAGTATCCTTTTAATATGCTATTTGTTGAAGAACTCAGTGGTTTTTCTTCCCATGAATTGGAGCCCGTTGTTACATCTTATCTATTTGGGTAGGCCAAATCGGCAAATGATGTTTTTCCATATAAAGACGGTTACCTCTTACTCACGAACTTAGGCGAATGCTCCTGCTTACACCCACTTGGAGAAATAGTCAATTAAAACTAAAAGGAATTTTATGTTACCTCATCCTGGTAGAAGTGGTCCCACGATGTCCATTTCCCATTTAATGAAAGGCCGCGAAAAAGTGACAGAGGGGAGGTGCTCCCCTGCTTGGTGAATTATCGGGACGTATTTTTTGCACTGCTCGCATTTCTTCACAAATCCTAGAGCGTCTTTTCTCATAGTGGGCCAATAATACCCGACCCGTATGAGGCACCTGATGAGTGCTCAGTCACCGGAATGACTGCCAAAATGACCTTCATGGACTTCCTCGAGGACGCGTTGGGTTTGGTTCGAGCCTAAGCATTTTTCGAAGGGACTGTCGTACGTTCTCTTGTATAAGTCGTTGTGAAGGAGGATGTACTTGGCAGCTTGCATTCTTAGCTTTTGGCTTCATTTTTGTCGTTTGGGAGGGTGCCGTCCTATACATAGTTTACAATACAATTGCGCCAGTCCCAAGATATATTTACTGATTTTACCTCGATATGGTCCAACGCCGAGCTGAGGAGGTGAACTACGCTCTTATCCCCAGGGGTTACACTTTTGGTGGCGGCGGCTAACTTGGCGAGACCATCTGCTTCGACGTTATGATTTCGTGGAATTTGTTCGAGCTAGCATTCGTCGAAACTGGGTAAAAATTTGTAGATCTCGGTCTGAAATTTCTGCAACCTCAGCTCTATGATTTGGAAAGTTCCAGTAACTAGGTTGACTACGAGCTGAGAATCGCAACGAAGCTTTAATCACTTCGCTCCGTACTTGAGTGCCAATCTTAATCCTGCAATTACGACCTCAAACTCGGCCTCATTATTAGTAATGTCTGGGTATCTTATGGATTGGCGAATTATATCACAGGTGGGAACCTCGAGTACGAGCCCCCCCCCTCCCGACCCGCATGCATTGGATGCGCCATTGGTGTGCAGGACCCAAAGGTCCTGTGTTTGAAGAGAAGCTTGAGTGGCTTCCTTTTCAGCTTCCGGCATTACTTTTGCGCTAAAGTCTACAACAAAGTCAGCGAGTACTTGCGACTTATCGTTGTGCGGGCCTGATAAGTGATGTCGTACTCACTTAACTCGATGGCCCATTTGGCTAGGGGTGGGCATAAAATCCGAAAAACCGAATTCCGAACCGGACCGAATTATTTCGGTATTTCGGTTTCGGTTTTTTTCGGTATTTCGTTCTAATTCGGTACTAAATTTTTGGTAGTTCGGTATTTCGGTTCGGTACTCGGTTTTAGAAATCTGAAATTTCGATATTTCGGTATAACCGAAATACCGAATTTTAAATAGGCCAATTCCCATCCCGAGCCCAACGCCCAAGCCCACCCACCCTTCTTTATTTTATTTCTAGCCCAGCCCCAAGCCCACCCATCATATTTAGTAGCTGGTCAGGTTAATAGTTACTACTCTTACTAGTTAGAGTTAGGGTTTTTGTATAGAGTATAGAGAGTAGAGCTGTAGAGACGATAATTTCAAGCTCAGAGAGAGAAAGTGGACGATAATTCGCCCAAGCTCAGCAGCTCCGACTACGATTTGGCGTCGGCGATTTGGATTTTGGGGGATTTCCGACTTTGCACTTCGCAGCTCCGACTCCTCACTCCCCAGTCTTCAATTTTCAAAGGTATGTTTCTACTTTCTAGCGATTTCTACTTTCTAGCGATACCAAATTAGGTTTAGGACTGTGAAATCATTTGTGTTGAGAATGTTTGTAAATGCTTTAGGATTATCGAAGCCACAGAAGCAGTACTATTAATCTGCTCAAAAGCAATTTTTGGTTCTCTTCATACCTCCTAATTTTGCACAGAAGCAGTACTTTTTCTTGGTTCTCTTCATACCTCCTAATTTTGCAATGACATTGTTGTTGTGAGTACTCAGAACTCAGAATATTTTGTTATACCCACATAATAACAAAACTCAGACAAAATTTGGCTCTTTTGCTTCTTTAAACAACAAATTTGAATAATTTCAGGTTACGAAGTTATTCTACTTCCAATTATTTAGAGCTCTCAACTTCAAGCTGGAGTAACTCGCAGCAGCGAAAATGATTGCAAAAAGCAACTATTTCTAAATAATAAAATAACCACTATGGAAAGTTCCCCCTGTGCATTGTGTCAAGGCTCCCGCCCCAATGTTCCTTGTAAATGTTACAAATATGGTTTTCTTCTTTCAAATGTCAGATTAAAATAAACTTTTATGAATATGGTACGTATAGTACAAGTATGCTGTCTTTTTCTTATGTATATTGTATGTCTTCCTTGTACATAAAACTTTCAATAAACTTTCTCCAGATCTTCTTTTTCCCCAATTGTTTGATGATAAAACAGTTAGTTACCAAAAGCTTTTAGATTACACCCAAAAGTCTAGTGTAGGTTAACCTGTTTACACATGCACACACACACACAGAGACCTCAGAAGTGTCATTATTGTCATGTCTATTTCCCTAGTCTAGCAGTACTCAGAACAGAATGTTTGGCTTTCTTGTTAAATCTGCTCCCCTATGATTGTACCCCATGATTGTTAATTTGTGTTTATATTTGTTTAATTTTGTATAGATGGCAGATACAAGTAGAGTAAGTGATGCTGGTTCAAGTGAAAGTTTACCTATTACGGTAGATAGTAACACCAACACCATTGATACCCAAGATTCCAGAAAAAGGAAAGCCATGCAACCTAGGTCTGACGTTTGGAACCATTTTGATAAATTTGAGGTTAATGGGGTTGGGAAAGCACGATGTCGATATTGTAAACAAGCCTATGCGGCTAATTCATCTAGGAATGGAACAACAGGATTGAAGAATCATTTGCTTAGATGCAAAGAATACCCACTTAACATTGATAAAGATAATAGTCAAACAAAGATAAATTTTCAATCTTGCCAAAATGACGAAGGATCAATTTGGAAATTTGAACCAGAAGTTGTTAGGAGGGCCTTAATTGAGATGATAGTTATTGATGAACTACCATTTAGCTTTGTAGAAAATGAAGGCTTTATGAAGTTTATGAGAAAAACTCAACCATTATTTCGTCTTCCTTCTCGTAGAACAATAACAAGGGATTGTTATGAAGTTTACAGTGAAATGAAGCAAAATCTAAGAAAGTCTTTTAGAGAAGCACAACCAAAAATTTGCCTCACAACAGACACATGGACTTCACTACAAAGAATAAATTATATGTGTTTGACAGCCCACTTCATTGATAAGGATTGGAAGTTGCATAAAAGAATACTAGATTTTTGCCATATTACTAGTCATAAGGGTGAAGAGATGGCTAAAGTTATTAGGGATTGTTTGCTTGAATGGAAATTAGACAAGGTTTTCACTATTACCGTGGACAATGCTTCTTCAAATGATGTCACAGTTAAAGAATTGTCTAAACAGTTAGATATGTGGAAAACTAATATGATGAGTGGTAAGCATCTTCATGTGAGATGCATGGCTCATATACTAAATCTAATTGTGCAAGATGGTTTAAAAGAACTTGATGCTTCTGTGACACGTGTTAGAAATGTTGTGAGGTATGTGAGATCTTCGCCTGCAAGGACCTTAAAGTTTAAACAGTGTTGTGCACATGTAAAGGTAAAATGTACCAAAACATTGTGTTTGGATGTTCCTACTAGGTGGAATTCCACCTATTTGATGTTGGACACGGCACAAAAATTTGAAATGGCCTTTGACAAGTTTCATCTTTTTGATGATGGATTTTCTGCTTATCAATGTTCTCATGTTTGTGAAGATGGTAGTAGTGTAGGTCCTCTTGATTCTGATGATTGGGTGAATGTGAGGAATGTGATAGAGTTTCTTGCAAGATTTCACGAGCTAACTAAAAAAGTTTCAGGTTCACGTTATGTCACTTGTAATTCTCATTTTGAGGATGTATTTGAACTTTATTGTCATTTGAAAATGTGTTTAGCTAGTGAGGATGAGCATTTGAGAAAAATGGCTGAGCGAATGCAAGAAAAGTTCAAGAAATATTGGGGTGAGCCTGAAAAGATGAATAAAATGATTTTTATTGCTTCTGTGTTGGATCCACGTAACAAATTTGAATATGTTGAGGGAGCACTTGAAGAACTTTTTGGGGAGGAAAAAGGAAAGAAAATAAATGCTGAGGTGTATGCTTATATGAATTCTTTGTTTGGAGAGTATCTAAAAAAATATTCAACTGGATCTTGTCCTCAATCTCCATCTAGATCTACTTCATCTAGCAACACATCTAACACATCTAGTGGGAGTGTTATAAGTGCATCAAAAATAAGGACTAAGCTTAGCTTGAAGAAACAAAAGGAAGACAATGGGGGTGGGGGTGCTAAATCGGAGTTGGATAAATACATTAGTGAAGAACAAGAACCTTTTAGTGAAGACTTTGATATCTTGAGTTGGTGGAAAACACATGCTCCTAGATTTCCTATTCTTTCAGAGTTGGCTCGTGATGTGTTGGCCATTCCAATTTCTAGTGTGGCGTCGGAATGCATATTTAGCACCGGTGGCCGTATTCTTGATTCATTTAGGAGTTCATTGACTCCTAAATGTGTGGAAGCTCTTACTTGTGTTCAAGATTGGCTTAGAGAAGAGAACAATCCTATTAGTGTTGAAGAAGACTTGAAGTATCTTGAGGAACTCGAGCTCGGTAAGCTTTAATATTTTGCGTGTATTTTAGTTCAAAATAATATATCATGCTTTTTCATTTGTATGACATATTTGGTCGAATTATCTATAGATATGGAAAATAATGGAAGCACTACTAGCATTGTTTGATGTATAGTTGCAACTTGCATCTTGAGTGGTAAGTTAATACTCATTTTGTTTGGTGATATACTTAATACTTTTGTAGTTTTATTTTTTTATCATCAAAATATTATATTCTAACTTATGATTTATATATTTTTAGGTTCAAGCATTGTGGTCAAGTCTATAATGTGTAGTTGCGTACAGATGCAATTTGGAGTTGGGCAGAATTTGGCAAACTTTGGAGTTGTGTACAGTGCACTGGCGTTTTTGTTCACTGTAATTTGCACTGCACTGGTGTTTAGCAATGACTGTTGACTGTTCACTGTAATTTGCACTGCACTGGTGTTTAGCATTTAGCAATGACTGTTTTTGGAGTTGGGCAATGACTGTTTTTGTTCACTGTAATTTGCACTGCACTGGTGTTTAGCAATGACTGTTTGCATCTGGTGTTTACTTTAGTATGTATTGTTTCAACTTTCAATTTCAAACGTTGCTGCAACGTTAGGACTGTTACTGTTAGGACTGTTAGGACTTAGACTGTTATCGAAGCCACATAGCACTGTGTAACTTACAATTGTTTGTGGTGTTTACAATTGTTTGTGGTGTTTACAATTGTTTCAACAATTGTGCATGTGCACTGTTAGGACTTAGGCGTTAGCTAGCATTGATTATTTAGCGATTATTAAACCGAAACCGTACCGAACCAAAATAAGAAAAATCGAACCGTACCGAAATATTTTGGTATGGTATTTGGTATACACAATTGATAAACCGAATACCGAATTACCGAACCGAAATTATTAAATACCGAACCGAAGTACCGAATGCCCACCCCTACATTTGGCCAGCCTCCCCGACAGCTTGGGTTTGTGTAATATGCTTCTTAAAGGAAAAGTGGTGATGACCGAGATAGGGTGGCACTGAAAATAGGGTCTAAGCTTTCGTGAAGCTTCGACCAGGGCCAAGTTTAGTTCTCTAGGTGATGATACCTCGTCTCGGCATCGACAAGTGTTTTATTGATATAATAAATTAGATATTGCGTACTTTTATTTTCTCGAACTAAGACCGCCCTTACTACTACTTCTGAAACGGCGAGGAAAATGAGGAGGCATTCCCCGAGCTCGGGTTTTGAGAGCAAGGGGGGTGATGACAAGTACGCCTTCAGTTTTTGTAGTGCTTGTACACCCTCAGGCGTCCACTCGAGGCCGTTATCCTTTTTGAGTACGCTGAAAACGTATGACATCTATCGGACGACCGTGAGATGAATATGTTAGGGCGGCAATTCGACCGGTCAATCTCTAGACTTGCTTTTTAGTGGTCAATTGTTCTATATCCCGTCGATAGCCTTGATTTGATCTGGGTTGAGCTCAATCACTCGATGTGATACCAAGAAACCTAAAAACTTTCCTAAGCCTATGCCAAACGCGCATTTCTCGAGGTTTAATTTCATTCCGTACTTTCTTAGTATATCAAAGTTTCCTTTAGGTGGTCGATATGATCCTCTGCCTTTTCGGACTTGACCAGCATGTTGTCGATATACACCTCCATGCTTTTGCCGAGTTGATCTTTGAACATTTTTGTGACTAACCTTTGATAGGTAGCCCTTGCGTTCTTCAACCCAAATGCCATGACCCTATAACAATATGTGTCCCCTGTGGGTGATGAACGTGGTTTTCTCTTGGTCCTCTTCCTCCATGAGTATTTGACTGTAACCTGAGCAGGGGTCTAGGAAACTTAACAGCTCATGCCCGGCCGCTGCATCGATGAGTTGGTTGATGTGTGGCAATGGGAATGAATCTTTTGGGCATGCTTTGTTTAGGTCTGTGAAGTCCACGCACATCCTTTATTTCCTGTTTTTCTTTTTGACCATCACCACATTGGCTATCCATTTGGGGTACTTCGCCTCCCTGATGGAGCCGTTTTCCAATAACTTCTCTACTTCTTCATGGAACGGCCTCATTGATGGCAAGGTTGGACTGTCGTCGGACTTGCCTTACCGGCGGTAGAACGGGTCGACATTCAGCTTGTGTGTAGCAATTTTTTTGGGGATACCTGGCATGTCTGCATGACTAAAGGCAAACAAATTTGCGTTAGTTATTAAGAATTGACTAAATTTACCTGGTTCTCGGAGTTTGCAGCCGATGTAGGCCTTTTTGTTGGGGTCGTTATGATCTAGTTGAATAGGGCCGAAGTCCTCAAGGGTTGATTCAGCGGCTTCGACCGTCTCGGGATCATTAATGGCTTCCTTGGCTTCGCCTTTCGATGACCTCGACCCTACTGATTGCTATGCTTCCTTTTCCTTTTCTTTCTTTTCTTGAGTTGTCGTGTTGTCAATGGCAATTCGGTATCATTCCCTGGATGTACGTTGTTTCCCTCGTATGCTGAATATTCCCCAAGGTGTTGGAAATTTGATCACTTGGTATAAACTGGAGGGGACGACTCTCATGAGGTGTATCCATGGTCATCCCACAATGGCGTTGTATGTGGTGTCCTGGTCCATGATATGAAATGTCGTCTCTAGAGTTACTCCGCCGGCGAGAACGGGGAGGGTGATTTCTATCAAAATTAGTTCAACTGCATTGTTAAAACCGGTTAGTGTAATGCAACGTGACACTATCCTGTCATCGAGTCTCATCTGTGCGAGGACTCAAGGATGGATGATGCACGCTTCACTTCTGTCATCTACCATAATTCACATATCATTGGTATCTAAAATTTGTAAAGTAATGACAAGTGCATCATTATGAGGAAAACTTAAATCGTCGGCATCTGACTCATCGAAGATGATACTTTCTTCAAGTTCGTCATACCGTTCGTGAGTGATCGATCTTTTGAGCTTGTGGGTGGCGGTGAATTTGATGTCATTGGTAGAGGCGTCGTCGTTGCCACCAATAATCATATTGATGGTACGAGCTGGTGAAGGGGGATTTGGCGGACCTGGACGTTCTCGACCCCTTGCCAAGGTGTTCCTGCCTTTATCGCTGAGCAGTTCTTTGAGGTGCCCTTGCTGCAGCAAGTTTGCCACCTCTAGCCTCAAAGCGATGCAATCTTCTGTTTTGTGTCCACGTTCTTCGTGGAACTCGCAGAGGGCGTCAGATTCCTTGTGTTTGGGTCCGACCTCATATTGGGCGGCCATTTGACTTTTGTTCTGAGCTTCTCGAGAGCATAGACCACTTATATAGGCGATACGAAAAAATTGTGAGCAGATAATAAGGGGGGCATACCTCGATCATTCCTGTAAGTGCTTGATCTTGGCCTAGACAAGCCATCTTCATAACGGAAAGAGAGAACGAATGTCCTGACATAGGATTGGTGACGTTCCCTGCCCGGCCGTGACATTGGGTGGTCTCTCCTCAGATTGTACTGGGGTGAGCCGTCGAGTTGGTCCATTAAGGTCGTCGTCATCCGCTCTAACCTCGGCACAGTAGGCATTATGGATTTCGTCCCTAGTGGCCGATGGATACTTTATAAGTCGACTCAGAAGCTTTGTGGTTGCCCTCGCACCTTCTCTACTCAACCCATTCTGAAAGGCTGCCACGGCCATCCCTTCGGAAACATTTGGTAAGGTCATCCTCACCCTGTTGAATCGCGCGAAGAAGTCCCTTAGTCCCTCTCCTGGGTATTGCTTAATGGAAAAGATATCGTTTACTCTTGTTCCAGCTTTCTTGTCCCCAGCGTGCATCATCACAAACTTGTCGGCCATCTCTTCAAATGTTTCTATGGAACTGGGCTGGTAACTGTGAATACCATGTCAACGCCCTTTTGGCAAATTTTTTCAGCAAGATGGAGGACACTTGCTCTTTGGTTAGGTCGTTGCCTTTCACAGCGGTAACGTAGTGAATCACATGATCTTCGGGGTCGATCCTCCCGTCGTAGATTCTGATATATGGGAGCATCTTGAAGGTCTTTGGTATGGCATGTGGGGACGGTTCCTCGTTGTACGGTTGTTCCACAAACTTGTCCGTGCCCCTTCTTGGTAATAGTTTAGTGGCACCTGGTATTTTATCTACCCGTTCTTGGTTCTCTTTCATTTGGTCTTTGAGCGCCTTGTTCTCGTTTTCCATTTCTTCTATTCTTTTCAGTACGGCGGCGGGGACGTTATCGCCTGCATTGTTAGTAATAGTGGGAGTTTTACCTGGAGTCGGAGGGTCTAGTTGGTTATCCTGCTCATTCCCACGTTGTGTTGCATGAATTCCCGTGGTTTCTGTGGTCGTGCATTGAGATTGTTTACTGAGTACGCTGACTAGAGTATCAGTTAGCCATGCTTCGAGGAGATTTTTCATAACAGGTGGCACCTCTTCTCCCGTGGACGTGGAGGCTCCTTTCCCATTTGATTTTGTTGTGCTGCAGAAAGGGGCGGGCGACCTCTCTTGCCCGTGGGAGGCAGTGGGCGTCATTTCTTCGCCATGTATGTCATAGCCTTCGTTGATGGCGTTCCTGAGGTTAAGGGGAACGTTATATGCTGCCCTCGTTCCTTTTCCTTGGTCACCTGCCATGGAAGCTTTTGTACACACAAAGACAAGAGATAAACTTTGTAGTTGGTTAGATTAACAAGTCACGTGAGTTATGGATCTAATGGAAACTAAAAGATTGGCGGAGAAAATTCCCACAAACGGCGCCAAACTGTTTGACCCAAAATTTAGATCTTGGTTTAAACAATTAGATTTTCTAAAAGAATACAGTTAATCTTAGCCAATATTAATATTCAAAAGATCGTTTAACTGATTTTGTAACGAGATATAGCGAATACTATTCGAATAGTAATAAATAGCAATAATAAAGTAATATTCAATGGCCCAAGAACAAAAAAGATAGCATTAAATATCAATAAATGATAATGAATGACATTTATGTAAATAAATGCAAGTGAGTCACCCAAAAAGAGTGAGATTCTTTGATATTCCTTTTGACAAAGATGGATGATGATAAGCCTTAGAATCTTCAGATACTCCTTGGATCATGGGAGAAATGATAGGCACAATTCCAAAGAAAATGTGTATTTTGTATGTTAATGATAAAGCAAGAATCTTCGGAGAATGCCAACGTGTTATTTCTTATAATGAGTATCCAATCCACTCTACAATTCTTTCTCTTTCTATTTAAAAGGGTATATGAGCCACAAAACCCCATAAGGTCTTATCTCTAAAACTAGCCGTTACTATCCTGCTAAAGGGAGTGCTTGTCCTCGTCCTTCTGCTGAGCCGACTCAACTTCGTCTTCGTCCTTTGTTAGGTCACCTCGACCTCGCCTTCGTCCTCTGTTGAAAGTACATCGACGGCGCATGGCAGCATTCGAAGGCTCTCTTAATGTCGACTTGGACCACATATAATTATAATAATTTTTAGCGCACACAGTGTGTTCAATTACTTTCATTACATCCATACCAAACAACAAAAAGCAAATCAATAGTTTTTCACCAAGGGGAAATAAACATCTGAATTTCCCTCTATTTCTCCCTTCCTCCTAACTAAACCTTGTGTCAGTTCAAGTACCTAATCAATAATCATGTATAGTTGCCTTAACATAGAAGAAACCCACCCCCACCCCAAAGAAAATCCACAAAGTCCCTTTTTATGCTACTTATTGATATATAATAATATTCTCCTGGATTTAAAAAAAAAGAACGGCATCAATACAAAAAAAAAAGGGGGGGAGGGGGGGGGGGGGGTTATACAACATAAACTGGGGAAAAGAATATGAAATCAGTAATACATTTAAAGGGCTATTTCTCCCTTGTTCCATCTGCGGAGGGGGTGGAAAGGAAAACTATTCAATACTTTCTGTATCTTATCCATCAACGTCAACAAAATGCGGTAAGAATTCCATTAATACTCTCCTGAATTTTTGTCATAGTAGACATAATAATAGTTTGCCCCACTAATTTTTGTAATTTAAATTTAGAATCCAGTTATTGGCATTTGCAGTAGTCGTTGAAATTATGGCTCCACCTCTGCTAGCAAACTTGTTTGTTTGAGTTGTTTTTGAAAAAAATTAAGAAAAGATTTAACTTTTTTACTTTTGCCAAAAAAGCTCAAGCAAACACTTCTTGAAAGCTCAAAAACTGAATATACAAGCTCACCTAAGTAATCCTTGCCTGACACTTCAGGGAGTAGGCAGACATCTCCACTAAAACGTCTATGATTAATGGATTGAATAAAAGAAAAATATTTACAGGAATTCATAGAGAAAATAAAGAGTGCAAACCAGATCATTAAAAAAAGAAGAAATTTAGGAAAGACAAGGATCAAAAATAGTATTCTGATGATAAAAATAGAGACTCGGCGTACAAGCCTTCACATCTCGTGCAAAGGCCAAGAGGTGGTGTGTAGTCTAATCCAAGAAAGGTTTCAAACACAACTTTTTTAACAAACAGAGGATCAAAAGAGGAATGTAAGCATCAAACTTCTGAAGTCAACAACCAATAGTAAAAAGGGTCACATCTTAGCTAATTTCTCGAACAAAGGTCCTTAAGAAAATTCAGTAAATCAGTAGATACTGCAACAGTTAAAGAGGGCAAGTTATGTTAACAATAATTCCATTATTAAGAATTCCATCAGAAAGTTATTCGCATTCTCATGCATAAGCAGAATATTATGGAAGCCGATAAAATTTCTATCTTTACAAACAATCCAAATCCAAACACACCAAGGAGGGGGGAGGCCAGAAGGAGTTTCACAAGGAGAATGGCTTCGCATACACATCGAATGGCTGGCAAGCTGTTAACTGGGGCTCCTGGAAAAAGTGTGACATAAAAGAGAAAGGTCAAGAACTACATTTGAATTCTATAATTCAGGAAAACTAAGGTGAAAGAATGCATTACACTTTAGTAGTACATTAATTAAATATGCTGAAGTTACCTGACTAAAGCCTCCACCCATACCGGCACTACCACCTGTCAAAAGCATGGAAATGAGAGATGTGACAGCACCGCCACCAAAATCACCCCCTGAACTTCCGGCTTGCCGAATGGCATTTCGCATTGCGGTCAATATACTTCCGTATGTGCTTCCATGACCGCGCTCAATTGCTTGAATGAAACAGAAAGTCATAGCACCCGTTGAAGTTACTTTTGAAAGAGCCTGCAGATCAAAGTCATTAGGTGTCTCCTAATAATTTCTACTTAAATCAGAATAAGATTAATCAAACTTACAGATGTATCAGCAGAAGTTTGATTATCATCACAACCACTAAAAGAGATTACTTCACCACCATTAGTTCCTTTCCAAATACCAGAACGAGGACGATGGTCTTCCCACACATATTGTCCGCTCCTATTTCCAGGAAGTTAAAAGAATAAGCATTATCGTAAAAAAGAGTGGAATCCAAAAAGCTGAAGATAACTGATGGTTAAGGGGAATAATAATCATTAGAATGGTCAAGTAGTTGATATGACTTCTAAAAAACGAAAAAAGCATAAAACATTTTCAATGATGGATAATCCCAACAGTGGCGGATTTAGAATTTTTAAATCATGGGTGCTTAACTATTTTTCATCTCAAAATTGCTACTGAGACTGGGTGCTCAGTTAATATATTTGTATAAATTTTCTAGTTTTTATAATAAATAATAGTGTTTGGTTCTGTAAGTAATCACCCATAACTTATAATGTAGATCCGCCTATGATCCCAAGATGTCTTATAAATCAGAACAGTAACATAGTGCACCATATGTATTGCCTAACTTCATGATATTTGTAAATTTTCTGTTCAGTCAAATCAATTAAACTCGAATTGAAAAATCGTTCATGACATGGAACATATCATTTCTCAAATGTCAGAAGAACTTATTAGTGAGACAGATCTCATTTATCTGCCCCAACCTTAGATGAAACAGAACAACATATACTTCCGTAACCTTTGATCCAGTTAGGTTCTCATAGGTGTCACATGAATACCCATTAAGCATATTTCACGAAATTCAACCTCTTGTACATCCAGTTACTCTTAAATGTTTCAAACAATAGACAACAACTTCTACCAAAGATACCACAAAGTACTAAGGAGCAGTGACCTACCTGCTCATTCTGCAAAGAAATGGCAGGTCTAGAACGGTTCCACTGTGGCAAGCATCTATTATTGCATGAAGCTTTACACCGTGAGGAAGAGGCTTGACAATTGTCGCATTGATTTCATCATC